TTAAACAACTTCTTTATTTGGCTTGTTCTTATTCGTTTGGGGTGTAAGAGAAGGTAGCAGGATATGCAAATTTGGTGAGAAAATAAGAGAAGAGATTAAATCCTCCTTGCTGCCATTTTCTTTTTCTTGCATCACCCTTCACACCACACTAGTGGGATAGGAATTGAAAGCTTTCATTTTCTTGTAATCTAATGATATTTATTTAGTAATACTAGTCCAATATTTAATATTTCTTCCAACAGCAGATTGCACAAGGCATATGCAATTTGATTTAAAGAAAACTAATATTTTTTTATTATTTAAAGAAAGGAGAAGAGAGGAAAAATTATGGATTTCTGGAACAGGTTCAAAACAGGTACAAAAATTACTGTTAAAAACCTGCTTGTTTGGAAACTCAGAATTGGTCAGCCTTCATTTCCTGTATTGTGTTGGTCTAGAGACAGCACAAAAGGATGTACTTGATACACACACTAGAACATGCTGACTTGTAAGATATGGGATTACTTACTGTCCTCTCACGATGGAGCTACTTCCATTTAATTGACAGGAAGCTTGTCAGTGACAAAACCATCCTGGATTCTATGTCCATAATCAAGATTCCTGTTGGATTTCCAAAAAGGAAGAGAGGAAGTAGAGAGGAAACAAAGCTACACTGTAATAAAATAAGGAACTGAGTGCCTGCACTTCTGAAATGAGAAGTCTCTTTGTTCTGTAAATCTAAAGGTTTGTTTTCATGTATGGGTCTTTAAAACAGCAGTAGGAAAAGACCAGGATGGATGGAGTTTTGAGCAACCAACTTTGCTTTGGTGGTGTGTTGTCCCATGGCAGTTGGAACAAGATTATCTTTAATATCTCTTCAAACCCTAACCACTCTATGATTCCATAACAATATGAGACTAGATGAAGAGACACTCAAGAGAACAGAAAACACACCCTCACAGGATCACAGAATACCTGAATTGAAAGGGATCTGCAAAGATTGTTGAGCCTGACTCTTAAATGAATGGCCCATGCAGGGATCAAACACCCCATCTTGGCACTATTAGCACCCTGCTTTAATCAACTGAGTCGACCTCAGGGCTCGTAAGAGCATCAAAACACAAGTCACGGCATAAGCTGAAAACATTTACGAGCAATCACAGATTTAATTTCTTGATCTGACACTCTACCTCCACTGCCAGTACTCCATATTTTTTGTCAGAAAAAAAGTATGGGGCTTTCTGACCCTTCACAGGAGCCTTCCATTTTAAGGTGGCTTCAACCCATCTGGGATCAATGTGCCAGTAGTCAGGGTCCACCATGTATTCCAGGAACTCCACCCTGTGCTGCTGAGAAGAGCTGATTTCTGGGGTTTGACATGGAGTCACCACTGCTGCAAGTGATGCAGGACCTCCCTGGCATAGCCTGTGTGCCTGTTGTGTGCTGGAGAACGTGAAGATGCTGAGAATACCACTGCAGAGTTATCAAGCAGACTGTGCAGCACATTATGTGTAGAACCATGGAAGGTGGTCAGAGCACAGGAGAGACCAAACAGTCAAAGATCCTCATAGTGTCTGTATCTAGTTCAGAAAGCACTTTTCTGCTCATTTCCTTCTAGCATGCAGGAAGTGCAGAATCTCTTAGAATTTTTGCCAGCTTCTTTTGATAATTCAAAACAGGCTTTTCCAGTGTCATTGTTCTTCTAGTGGTACCTACGTGGAAAGGACCTCACTTCCCATGGCCATAAGAAGCAAATGAAGCTCCTGAGGAACAGAAAGAGTCATTTCACCACGTCCTGCCTTACTGTCCTGCTGAAGTTTTGGCTGGCATTTCATTATGGAAGCAGATGTCTCTGGGCCATAGGGGCTATACTGTCCCATAATCAAGTCCAAAGCAGGAGCCATGCCCCCTTGTCTTTTTCTTTATACAGATCACTCCCACGAACAGCGATTTTATATCTGAGACAAGCAGGACCTGGCAATCCAAGCTGCCTCTGAGATGTGGTAGCGCACTCTTGAGGCAACAGAAGAACCAACAGTGGTGCTGGCTTGAACACAACTGATAGATGGGCCCAAGCTCAGGGGTAAGCCAGTCCTAACCATCTCGTTTTGAGGGTCACACATGGACATAGGCTTTGAAGGAGCTTGCTTTTCACACCCAGTTTCCAGAGTCAACTGATTTGTGTATTTATCGGCCAACTACTTCTCCTGGTGAAGCTCCAGCACTCCAGTGCTTGCCCACTGCAGTTGCAGTCCCTCTGAAAACTGTTTATATTAACTACGTCACCTGGTTTTGGACCACATGGCCATTGTCTTCCACACAGTCACAATCCACATTGCTCTGGGATATTACTACTGCTGGTCTAATGTCCCTTGGGATACATGGTACTTGGATAGGCTGTAAAGATTAGCCATATCTAACTAATAAATCCTAATATAATTTTGCAGTCCCCACTGAATGGTTCTGGAAGACCATAAAACCACAGAAAGGTTTGGGTTGGAAGGGACCTTTAAAGACCATGTTGTCCAACCTTCCTTCAGTGGGCAGGGAAAACTCTTACTAGATGAGGTTTCTCAAGATGGAAAGCAAGAGGTCTTGAAGTAGCATGCAGTGCTCTGCCACACTTCTATGCATTGACCACAGCTCCCTGCAGGAATCTGAGCCTAATCTGCAGTCGATGGGGAGCCTGAAGCCAGGCTCCGTGCAGTCAGCCTCAGGCTCCACATGGTCCAACCTACCTGCCATGAAGCAGCAGGGCTGGGGCTGCTCTGCAAGGGATGACTGAAAAGTCAGGGGAGATCACATCATGGGACAGTGACCTCACTGACCAGGGCACAGTACCCAAGCAGGGCAGCCTGGTGACAGTAGCAGCTGTTGACAGTCACAGCGATCACCAGGTAAATGTGAGATGGCAGGTCAGGTCCAAGTGGAATCCATGAAATTCAGTGAATAGAAGCTGCAGGATATATGCTAGGCACATGCCTGCCAGCAACACAGCTCAGGAAGGGGCTGGAGGCCAAGGCTGGAGCAGAAACAGAGCTACCCCTGCAGCTATGCTGGCAAGTGTGCACTGGTGTGTCTCTTAAGGCTCCAAGTTATCTCCAGCACAACTGAGAGAGGAGAATGTAACACAGACTAAGCAAGCACAGGAATTGGCCCCAACCACTTTGTACCTTCTAAATGGAACTTAAAACTGAGGCCAAACATGACTTGAGGGTGTTTATCTGACCACAGATAGTTTTCACTGTCTCTTCTGGTCCTTTAGTCATCCCCTGCCACACCTATGATGAAAAAGTTGCACAAAGATTTAGGAAAACTTTTAAGGATCAGAAAGGAGCAGAAACGCAGGATCAGGCTATAAAGAGTATGGACTCAGGCTTGCCAGTTTTTCTGACTGAACAGAAATGTAGGAAATAGGGACTCTGAGACCATCTGCTCTCACTCCGTATCAAATAAAAATTAGAGTTTTCCAACTTCTTGATTAAAGATAAGGACAAACTTTGTGGATTTTTTTTTTGTTTGTTTTACTTCAAATAAAAGCCTAATAAGTATACTGAGACCTGGGTTTTGGTCCTAAGCAATAAAAATGGTCTCTCTGTCATGAAGTACTAATGTGGAAATGCCCGAAACTATCTTAAATAGAAATTGCAGAATTCAGACTAAAAATTATATTTCATACTACACTACAAATTATATTTTATAGCTAACACTGGATTTCACTGGATCTATTTTTACACTTAAAATTAAATTATAACCAAATGTGTGTTATAACCAAACAGAACCATCAGCTAACAAAGATGCACTAAAAGAGGGGTAGATGAACAGAAAATGTATTCCTTTCCCCAGACCAGCTTGGAAAAAAAATCACAGTACTATCACAGTACTGTCACATGTGCACTCACTGCATTAGGAAAACATAAAGTTACCACTAAATTAGGCAAAATAAAATGTCTTTATTTCTTGGTCCAGGTTAAGACCTTTCTTAGAAGTGTGCTGTCATTTAGAATGAAATGTTAAATATAGGGAAAATCATTTAAGTATCTACAAACCAGAAATTCCCAAAGTCCAATTACATCTTCAAGCATTACAGGTAATGAACAAACAGATTTTAGCATTAACCTTTTTGCCTGATATCCTTGGTGTTATTCTGATAGTAAAAGGCCTTAAAATCTTAGAAAATTCGGGGACTTAGAAAGTTAGGTTTGGAAAGCCCTGGGAAAAGCAGGCCCTGGAAACTAAGGGGGAATCATGAGAAATCCATGCTTGGGTATAATTAATATGTAAGTTGCATAACGATAGAGTATAAAATATGTCCAACTCGAAAACCCAAATTGGGTCAGATTTGGGTATGTGTACCCCTGACACCCAGAGCTCTTTAAATAAAGCACCTTCATATAATCATCCGTGGTTATGTGTGTGTTCCTGAACGCTAACAATTCCAGTCTCACTTCCTCCTGCTCACACACCTGTATGCTTTTCTGACACCCAGTGTGACTAATGCAATTGGAAAAGCACAGTAAAAGGTCAATCATTGAAAAAACATACCATTTATATTCCTAACACTGCTGGGTTTTTGAAACATGCAGTTGGCTGGACTGTGAAATTCTCTCCATACTTTAGCTGAGACAGCCCTTTTACTTACAAATTACTGATGACCATTTTAAATACATAAAAATAAGGCTCCGTGGGTCATATCTGGACAAACCCAAATTTTGTAAATTGAGTCAGCCATTCCATACAGTATTAAATAAAACATGCAGTAATTTTCCTAGGAAGTTACTGCCATTTAACTTCGCATTTTTCCAAAGCACAGTACACAAAAGACCTCCTGCAATGGCAGATCAGTCTACCACATGAAAATTTTAACCTTCTAATGACACAGTGGGACATATTTTGTTCCTTCTGTGTGTCAAGTGACATAAGGCAGCACAAGAAGCAAAACAAGGACATTCAGATATCCCTAGTTCTTTTTCAGTCACAATGAATACTGGTCCCCCACACAAATGAGAGACACAATGGTGTAAAATATAACACAGGAATATAATTTTATTCTGTTAATCTGCGTATGTATTGGTACAGCTGTTCTGAGAAAGCTTCTGAAGAAAATTTTTCCGTAACTCTCACTCTCCCAGCTGCTCCCATTGTGTCTTTTAAGAGAGGATCTCTCACAATTTTTTCCATGGCATCAGCAAATTGGGTTGGCAGAGGATCACACAAAAATCCTGTAACATTATGTGCGATTGATTCTAAAGGACCACCTGAATTAACTGCTATAACTGGACATCTCATATACATTGCCTCCAAAGGGACAATGCCGAAATGTTCATTGCTTGGTGTATAAAGCACACATACAGAGTTACTAAAAAGAGAGATCTTCTGTTCATCTGAGAATGATCTCAGAAAAGTCACATGGTCATTAACACCAAGCTTGTCTGCGAGTCTCCTCAACTCTTCATAGTGCTCCACGTTTTCCAGAACTCGCTTATCATAACCACCTGCCATCACCAGGTGAACTTCATCCCACTCATGAGAACCAAGTCTCCCCCGAAGTTCATGCAAAGCTTCCAGAGCCAATGCTAGATTCTTTTTTCTCTCATACCTATTAATGGAAAGAAACGAGAACTTTTTCTTTTTCGGTATCAGGTCGGCTATGTCTGCAGGAACAATTTCTTCAAAGCTGCTGATGTTGAGCGATGGGTATAGGACATCTGGGTTTATGTGAGATAGGGACTTAAAGGTGTCTTTGAACACGCTGGCAGTGAACTTGCTGTTCACAACGATGCAATCTGCCATGCCAGTCGTGTACTCTTCCAGCCAGTCGAGCGGCAATCTGTAGAGGCGCTTCAGGAAAGATTCTCTCTTGGTCAGCAGCTGATCGGGAAAGTGACAGTAAAACAAAACCTTCTTACGGGTTCTGGCCAGTCTAAGTACAGGAATGCAGGCAGACACCTAGTGCAACCGGAGAGATGGGACAAGAGGAGAGGTTAATTATTTGTGTCAGCGTCACCAGAGTGCACATGTGATTTCAAAGCCATGCTCTAAGAGCCACTGTTTTGCAAGCCAAGTGCCTTCTTCCTCTCCTCTACACAAGCACATCGAGTTGTACTGCTTCATCAAGGACCTCTTGTGGCCCTATAATTTCTCCTTGCTCCCCACCAAGGTCCCAGCAAGCCCCAGGACTTCTCCAAGCACCTCCTTCTGCCACTCCCAGGGTTGCTGGGAGCAGAGTCCAAGCGGCGGTGGCATCCTCTCCCTCCAGCTGCCCCAAAATGTAAGAGGTAAACTTCAAAATGTGGAATATGTCAGGATTATCTAAAATCAGGATGCTCTTTGATGTAAAGTATTTGTATACTTTCAAGCCTAATCATCAAGAAAGAAGACCTAATCAGTGGAACTGGCAACAACTAGCATCCCTTAGTCAACGACATGCTGGAACTAACAAGCCCAAAGGATGTAGTCAAACAAGAAGTTGATTTGTCTATGTATACATTGCTAACTTGGCAAAATACTCAAGGTCCATGTATCATATAGCTAAACCATGTTATATACCATGTTATAAACCATGTTCATTATAACACTAAAAAACACACCTACAGGTCAGAAAGACCCCTGCTCAGGTGAAGATCATTTCCCTGAGCAAGTGTAGGAGTTAACTGGGGTTATGTAACTTGTATGGAATCACAGAATCAATTAGGTTGGAAAAGTGATCACTGAGTCCAAACAATAACCCAACACCACTGTGTCAACCAGACCATGGCGTAAAAGGCCACATCTAATCTTTCCTTAAATATATCCAGGGAGGGTGATTCCATCACCGCCTTGGGCAGCCCAACATATAACGACCCTCTCAGAAGAAATTCTTCCTAATGTCCAGGCCAAGTATTCCCTGGTGCAGTTCAAGACTCTCATTCTAGCATTAGCTGTCAGGGACACCAATCCCCACCTGCTAGAACATCCTTTCAGGCAGTTGCAGAGGACAAAAAAGGTCCCCCATAGCCTCTTTTACTCCCAACTAAACATCCCAGCTCCCTCAGCCACTCCTCATAGAGTTGTGCTCCAGATCCTCCCCCAGCTTCACTTCCCTTCTCTTGAAATTGCTAACTAAACATAACATTATGAGAGGCCACATTTGGGAAGTAACTAACTCTGAATTTCTGCATATAAAAAATGGCACAGAAAGCCTGATGGAATGTCCTTAATTTGTGGAACACCATGGGGCAGCCAGGCCTGCACAGCTCTGAAATGAACAATCTATGTCTCTCTCTGGAGTATGACTTGTTGCACACCATATAATGAATCCGACTTTGAGGGGATTTGATACTCCAGGGCTCTGGTGCATCCCTCTTATGAGAGACTGCAAGAACTGGGCCAGTTTAGTCTAGATAAGAGAAGACTAGGAGGGGATCTTATTAATTCATATAAATATCTCAAAGGTGTCAAGAGGATGGTGCCAGACTCCTTTTAGTAGGGCCCAGTGACAAGACGAGGAGCGGTGGCCATGAACTAAAACACGACAACTTCTACATCCACATGAAGAAGAACTTCCTCACATTGAGGGAGGCACAACACTGGAACAGGCTGTCTAGGGAGGTCGTGGAGTCTCCCTCTCTGGAGACACTCCAAACCCATCTGGACGCGTGCCTGCATCACCGGCTGCAGGTGACCCTGCTTTGGCACGGGGTTTGGAGTAGATGATCACCAGAGGCCCCTTCCAACCCTAACGATTCTGTGGTTCTGTTCAGAGCACCAGCATCCCCGCGTCCCGGCAGCGGCGCTCCCGCGCCCGCACCTGGTCGCACACGAAGGCGTCGAAGGTCTCTCCGCTGAGCAGCAGCACGTAGAGGGCCACGAAGGCCATGCGGAGGGCCGCGCACAGGGCGTGCCCGCGGCCGCACAG